AGTGCTGTAGGGTGCTCCTTTGCACAGATTTTACAGGTAGTGCTATAGAGGCACCTAGTCTCTGTGTGGCCGTAGCGCTGGCAGTTTTGGCATTGTGTAGAAGGGGGTGTAGCAATAAATCTTTCTGCTTTAATGCTAGCGCCAAGCAGGTATAGTCTGTTTCTAATAGCCTGTTGTGCTTCCTTCTCTGTAGCAAATGCTACACAGACAGAGCCTAGTTGCTGTCTCTGTCTTTTATCTCTACTTATTATCTAGAATAGGTGTCTAATAATAGTTAGGCCTCTATTAAAGGTAGCAATTTCTGTCTTTAGCACCTGTAGGTCTTGGTTTGTTGCAAGAGATGCAGGGATGTTGTGTAGGATTACTTTGTGCTAGGGCTCTATAGGGAGGGCTTCCTTGTATACAGTAATAGATTGCTAGATTACTTAATTTTTAAGTAGGTATTTTGCAGTAAAGGTAGGTGTAGTAGTAAATACAATATTCTTTCTTAGGCTTAGCGTAGCAGAGGCAATAACAGGTAATTTTACTCCTTTCTCTGCAAAGGCTAAGTTAAAGGCGTTGCGTATTTTAAGAGGAGCAAAAGCTAGAGGTTCTTGCTCTTGTGTAAGAACTAGCTGGCGAGTACTAAGAGAGTTCTTTGTAGAGGTAGTAGTAGGTTTACTCTTAGTAACTGTTTGCCACTCTCTTTCCTTAGGTAGGTTGCTTGCAGCTGCAGAGGCGTAGGAAGTAGGTAGAGAGGTGGTCTGTGTTCTTGTTGTTGTAGAAGAGCTAGGCTAGGTGGAAGAAGTAGCAGCAGTAGAAGAGAGTAGCTTTTGCAAAAGTCTAACTCCTGCTTTATTTATTTTTAACACTGCTTCTAGGTTTGAGACTTAAGAGGCTGGGATAGAGAGGCCTTGGAGTGGGTGTAGGTAGGTACAACTCTCCTAGAGGGTCAGGGGAGCTAGGAGTGCTTAGGTCCATTGTCTCCCTGTCTAGAGATTACTCTCTACTAGCCAGAGGTTCTAGTTCCATTGTCCTGGGTCCTGGGTCCTAGGTGTAGGTATCCTTCTCTTTTATAAGGAAATAATACAAAGTGACCAGAGGAGAGCTTATTTTTGCACAGGCAGAGGTACCTAATCTCTGTCAGCTTTTCAGAGCTGAAAAATAAGGTAAAAAGGCTGTCTTAGTTTTACTATTCTTGCCTTATACCCTATTCTTACTAGCCTAACTAGTAGACCTCTAGGAGTAGAGAGTAAGGTTAGAAAGCAGAAAACTAAGCAAAGGCTTATTACTGTCTATTATATAGGTAGCTGTTTTATTTAGGTTTTAGTGTTCTTGTAGATAAGATCTTTAATAAGATAAGATTTTCTAATAAGGGTGGGTAGTCTGTGCGTTGAAAATTTGAAAATTTGAACAGGAGGGCGGCACTCTTCCACCAGGCAGCGCGAGGGAACCAGGCGCCTAGAGGCTCTAGGAGTTTTAGGGTAGTATATCCCAGTTGAGTTGAGATGGGCGCAGGCAAGAAGAGATATATCTGGACAATTTGTGTTTTGGTGTTGGGTGTTAAAGTTGTGTGTGTCTTTATCTAGGATCCTCTACTTCTTCTTTGTCCTTCTTACTAGCTTAAACTAGTGCTCTATAACGCGTGCGTCTTTGTTTAGGGCTTGTTAACAATTGTATAGACAGCTGCGTTAAAACTTGACTTCCTTAGTACGGGTTCTAAACCTGTCTACCTAGTTCTTGCCAACAGGTCCTTCACCGCGCGCAGCGAGCAGATTGTTAGCTATTTCTTCTACCATAGTCCTTGTAGGGCCTATCCCTCGCTCATCTAGCTCTAGTATACTTGTAACTATTGCGCCCTCTTCTGTCTTCTTAAGCTTCTTTAAGTTAGCTTTGCAGTCACATTGTGCGTGTTTTCTAGCGCGTTAGTCTCTTAGGGTTAATTCAGGAACATTAAACGCTCTAGACGCGTGTTTTATACTATCAGACACAGTAGCATTTGTAGCCTAGATTGCAAGGTATAGTGTGCCTTTGTTGTAGATAAATTGCGCGTTGTGTTGTGGTGGAATATTTGTAATAGATGTAATAGTCGCAAAATTCGTATGGCCGCGCGACTCGGTGGTGGTGCGCGGCTCAGTGGTGAAACATGTTAGCAGAGATCTCTAAACTCTCTAAAGAAGAAGAAGCAGAGCAACACAAAACGCAAATGCTACAGAGACTAGGAGACAACCTACTTGCTATCTACACAGACGCCTCTTCTATTAAGAAAGGCACAGGAATAGGAACAGGAGTTACTGCTCTAGACTATAAACAGCAGGCTAAAGAAATCTACTCTACTAAATACAATATTAGCAAAGGCTAGATTGTATACAATAGAGAGCTAGAAGGCATAACAAGAGCCTTTAAGCTTGCAGCTTCTATAGCTACAGCAATACAAGAGATCTAAGTCTTTACAGACAACTAGGCAGCTATTTTAAGGCTAAAGACCCCTTCTAATAACTATAGACAAGCTTAGTAAATCTACTGCACAAACACAGCAAAGGCAATTTACAGCAAAGGCGCAACAATTAGCCTACACTAGACCCTAGGACACCTAGATATTACAGGAAATAAAAAAGCAGACGCCTTAGCAAAACAAGCTACAAAACAGCAACTAGTATCTAATACTATAAGCCTTGCAATGACAGGTATTAGGATTAAAGCTATTGCAAGACAATAGTGGCAACAGAAACTCTAAGCCTACTCTATAAAAGCAAAGCTTAGGAATCCTAGCACCTATACAGCAAGATTCTTGCTAAAACTAACAAGCAAGATAACACTGCCAAAAAACACTAGAAGAGAAATTGCAAGCGCATACTACCAGCTAAAGCTTGGACATAGATACAATAAAGCATAACCTGTTTTATCAGTGAGCGCCCCACCTCAGTGAGCGCCCCACGAACACCAGCGAGGCGTACGCGCAGCGACGTAGCTTAGCACCACAACACAAATTTTGTACTCTTGCAACAGTATAGTATTATTTAGAAGCGTTGCTGTTATTTATATCCTTAATTTCTACCTTGTAGGTGCGAGAGTTGTGCCTAATCTCACCGCAACAGCCACAGCGTTGCCCTGCGCGCACCCTCTTCGCCAGCTCCTCACCCTCCTTACATCTGCTACCCTCCCTTTTAGTAATTAAGTCTAATACCTTGCTAACTGTTAATGTCTCCTCTGCCTGTACGTAGCGTCTCTTGCAACTTTTATGCTTTGTTGCTGCTTTAGTAGCAGTATTAAGGCGCACTATCTCTACGCGCATTAACACTATCTTATAAGCTATCTACTGCGCGCCTTTTATTAGCTGCTACACCTACTTATTAAGTGAACTTGCTAGAGACTCTTAATAGATTTTTATCCTGTTTTAAACTAGTGTTAATTGCGCCTCTATTTCTTTAGCGTTGTGTGGTGTTTTTGCCTCCTAAGTGGCGTTGACTTGCTGTGGTGGAGTTTGCGTACGCAGCTGCACATCCAGCTTTAATAACACAGCCTGTGGATTATCTAGAGACAATCCAGCGCCTTAAAACCCTGCGCAAGCATTCTCTCTTGTAAACGCCTTCTTAAAAGCTACTTTAAAGGCTGGTAAGAAGGTCTATTTGCTAATGTAGTTAATGCAATTACGTGCTAAGGCTGAGATCTAATCACTGTACGCGCGCTTTAATAGCAAGAAACAGGCAACGTTAAGTGGCTGCAGGAGGTGCGATGAGTGTAGAGGCATACAGAGGGCAATAATCTTCTTCTCCTTGCAGCGATCCTAGAAATCTATTAAGCAATAGCTCTTGTGGCTGTTAATAATTAGCAGCCTATACGCTCCTACAGGCCTCGCATGCGTATTAAAGTAATTAAGCTAGGCAAGCGCTAGATTGTTGTTTGTCTAGCCTGTTGGGCTTACTTAAATAACCTAATTGCGTGGGAGGTCCTTAGTAAACTAGTTAGAGATAAGAACCTTGCTAGCAAAGATAAGGAAGGGTAGGATAACACGCCCTGTTGCGCTGACGCCCTGTATTAACATAGTCTACTTACAATTACTAGGCTAAAGCTTCTTTGCTTTCCTAGGTTTCTCTATGCCTGTTATAACAAGTTATGAAGATATCTTGCCTATTAGGAAGCTAGACTTGTTAAAGTTGTACATGTTGTTGTCTACAATACTATACTTTGCCTTTATATTCTAAACTAGCGTGAACTAGGGCTTAATAATCGCTAGGTCTTCGCAGAGAGCTCGCTGGTGATCGTATAGATAAGTCCAGCGCGTGCGCAGCTCAGGTGTACGCTTAATAAACCTGTCAACCTAGCATTTACCAACAGGCTCACCACCGCGGTCGCGCAGCAGTCTATCAGCCATATCTTGTACGTGTAGCTTCGAGGGCGGTACTCCACGTAGGTTCTTATCAAGTATACGCTGCAGAATCACCTCCTCTTCTAGCTTCGTTAGGCGCTTTGATCTAGGCTCGCAGTCGCGTCTAGAGGGCTTCCCGTCACGTCGTTGTTGTATCGTCCTACAAGGAACGCTGTAGACTGCCTCAGCACGTCGCAGGCTCGTAATCTGGTCGCATTTAATGTCAGAGAGGGCAAGCTGCACGTCAGCTTCAGTATAGGGCTTGTAAGGTTGTGGTTGTTGAGACATTACGCGTTGAGTGTCGCGCATGCGCTTTGCTGGTGTTCGTAGGGCGCTCACTGAGGTGGGGCGCTCACTGATAAAACAGGTTATCTATACAATATATAAAAAATAGAAAGCTCTAAATGCAGCTGTAGATATACACAAACACCTTAACACCTACTGCTTAGCTGTAGAAACTACAGAGAAGCAAGAAAGAAAATAAAGAGTAGCCTACAGGAGACAAGACTTACAATGTCTCTTCTCCTAGACACAAACTGGGGAATACAAGCTACACTAGCTTTTATTTAAGAAACTAAAGTAGTCACACGTAAGTGGTACCTACAGCAAATAATAAACAACTAATTTCCTTTGTTTATAACTAGAGCACAGGCTCTCACTATATGTCTACGAACCTATATATACTATTCCCTTACACAGAAAAAACTTGTAAATTACTAGAGCAGCCTCACTGCTCTCGTCCTATATAGTCTTAGACTCACACAGGACGTTAAACTAATCAATCAATCAATCAATCTATCACGCCATGGTGAGCGGAATCGGGTATAGCTTGGAGCCGTGATTAGGGCTCAAATTAGGGTATAGCTGGATGAGCATTGGTGTATATATTCTACTCATTCAGCACCGCAGATAGAACAAGGAACTTGATCACTTTCTTCACACTTGATCAACAATCAGAGATCACTCAGCTTCCACAGTTATAAGCCCAGCGTAAGAAGACTACACAGTTAATATTCCCTGCGTACTCTAAGCTAAGTGCATTTAATCTGAGATTATCTTCTCCACAATCTTTTCTCTAAAATCCTCAAAAATATATTACAAAAACACCACTGTGGCTTCTGGCCAAATCCTGCTAAGTAACCAATTAGATTGGCCGTATTGGTTTGCTCAGCTAGAGCTTCATGCTCGCGATACAGCAATCTGGGATCAAATTGATCCAGAGGCTGAAACTGTACCACCGATCGATGAGCAGGAACCAGAATACCCAGAACTTCCACCCAAGCCTCTGCAAGAAGGTACTCCCTCAGAGATTGATGATTTAGACGACTTGGGCAATCAAACCCAACGTATGACGCAGGAGTACTACGATCAAGCAGTCCAAGATCACCCTGAGGCAGTGCGGAAGTACAAGGTGGCCACATCCAAATGGACACGCAATGCCGCCAAGCTAAGCAATATCCGGAACTGGATCAACATAACGGTATCAGCCGATCTTATGGCCCCTGCCTTGATTAAATTAGTTAACTCTCAGCAATTGACTCTCCAAGCCTTGATCAGAGTCTTGAAGGCTGATCTTGCACTAATGAGTAGTAATACTCAGAACCTTGTAAGGCAGCAATATCGCGCTTACCTGGAAAAAGCCCGATCAGGACACATTTCACCAGACAAATGGTTTAATAAGTGGCATGTGCCCTATAGAATAGCACAGGCATTTAGTATCCTAGATATTAAAGGAGATCTTGCTCTTACAGATTTCCTAAATGCTGTTTCTTATAGGATCGCTCCTAAATAGGCCTAATTAATAAGGTAGCATATCCTTATAGAATTAGCCCTTAGCAGGGCTAATCTTAAGATAGGGGATCTTGCCTATATCTTTACACTACTTCTTTAAGAACAAGCAATAACCTTAAACGTAGGGAAAGGTGCCCTAGTCAACGCAACGTTCAGCAGATTATTAGATTAGCAGGAAACTTACAGAGAAACCTAGATTAGAGGACCTATTGCTTAGAAACATTAAGGTTGTTAATAGTTTCTATCTTAACATTTTATCTGAAGCTTAACTTAAGAAGGCAGGCCTCTAGTACCTAGGATTAGACAGCATACTTTGATATAGATCACTAGAGGACAACGTGATTATGGCCAAACTTCACTGTGCTCATAACCTTACCTTCATCGAATACAACAAGGTTTCATCTTATCCTCAAAATCCTACAAATGTGATAGCTAAGGCAAGATCATCAATTCCCCAATCTAGAGCAGACTTAGAGGACCTTTGGCACAAACGATCAGGACACCTTGGGCCAAGAGCGCTTCAAGCTCTCGCTCAAGCAGCACAAAACGTTCAGATTAAAGGCACGAAACGAATAGAGTGTCCTGATTGCTCTACAGCACACGCCAGCCAAGTGATCTCTAGAAGACTAAGGGAAAGATCGCCAAAACCTTTTTATTAGATATCATGGGATTTATTTGATATGCCTTCAGGAAGGCTTTATAAAGAATAGGCATTGATCATCAAAGAGGAATACTCAGGCAAGCTTTTCAATCACAATCTCTATACTAAATCTTTAGATGAGATTATGAGAGTAATTGAAGGATTTGAAGCCAGAGTTTAGAGAAAGTACTAATTGCATATTGTAGAGATCTAACAGGATAACGATACTGCAACACGTCCCTAGAGAGGACAATCACGCTACGAAGAATAGGCAGAAGAGAAGGGGATCACTATACTCACGCCACCACCATACACTCATGAGCCGAATGGATCAGCAGAAAGAGCTGGCCAGGAGTTGATCACGAAATCTATCAAGATGAGATCAAGCGCCAACCTACCGGCTAAGTTGTGGCCTGAGATCATGAACGCGGCAGCATATCTTTATAGTATAAGTCTATCAGCAATACATGGTTTCCGATCCCTAAATGAAGTCCTTGATTATTGGTTTTATCAGTACTTTAGATGGTACGAACCAGCTCTGATCAGACAAAGGACAGCAGATCTTCGCCCAGATTGGAGTGGCATATACGCTTATGGCTGCAGAGCGTATCCTTTAGACAAGGATCGCGCAGCAGGGCGTGATAAACAAGGATTTAAAGTTAATCCGCGTGGGCACATTGGATACTTGATTGGATATCGAGCATCAAACATATACGTTATATGGGTGCCCTCTGTTGATCAGGTAATCATCACTAGGAACGTATCCTTTGACGAAACAAGCTTCTATCAAAATAAGAAAGAGGAAGAAATGCCAAAGGAGCAAGCGATCAAGCTTGTAGACGTACTCCACAACGGAGAACTAGATGATCCAGGACAGGATATTGATATACCCTTACTGGAGGATCAACAAGAGCTAGTCCAACAAAGCCAATCGGCCGCCGGGCAAAAGCCTGGGGGTGAGCTACTTACACCAAGTGATCCAGAGGCTGGCCTGCCCTGTGATCAGGAGGGTGAGCAAGCAGACACTGTACGGGGTACAAGCCAGGCCAGCAAGTACCCGGATATCTGTACAGACCGATTGGACGATTTTGGACTAGCTACTCCTGAACCAACACCTGAACCGATTGATCCTAGATCAGGTGTACAGGAGATGGACGATCACACAGATTGTATGGAGACAGACAGTCAACAGGAATCGCGTACACCTGTGAGAGCTGATTCGTCTAGTCTCAGTGATCGGTTAGGATCACAGGGGTTGATGCTGGAGCGCTCAACCCACCAGGGATTAATGCTGGAGCGCTTGTCCAACCGTGCCTCTCGATCTAGCGGTGTTGCTTCTGCTACGCTGGGCAAAGCAAGGAATACCCCACCCACAAGATCAAGCTGCAGACTAAGAGGAGTAGCACCAGAGGTTAATCGGCCTATTAATGTCTACCAACCACTTAGGCGGAAACGACGAGATCGTGACAATCAAATAGGGGGTAGGTCTTTAGGAAGTGTTAACAGTTTGATCGCAGATCTGTTAGATGGCAATAATTAATGGAATGCAATTAAAAACACTTTCCTCCCAGGAACTAGAGAAGACTAGGACGATTGGGATAGCTACAAGACTATGAATGCTATAGTTATGTCAGTAATGCTTAGTGATCACGTCAACCACAAGAAGCAGATATCAGGAATACACAGGGACGATATGCCTGAGCTACTAAAAACCTAGAAACAACTGTTACAGCATCCGCTCAAAGCCCTGTTGATTGATGCTTCGAAGAAGGAGGTTAATCAGTTAATTAAGAAAGGTACCTAGACTGAGATAACTATATCAGAAACCTCTAATCAGCCACTGCCCCTTAAGTGGGTATGGACCTACAAGTTTAATTAGAATGGGTACTTCACGAAATGTAAAGCAAGGATTGTTGTAAGGGGTGATCTCCAGGAGATTAACACCCTAAACTCAACATACGCTGCTACTCTAGCAGCAAGATCATTCAGAGCAGTAATGGCGATTGCTGCTCAATTCGACCTAGAAGTACTCCAGTACGACGTTGTTGGAGCGTTCCTCAACGCCATGATCACCAGCGAACACCCAGTAGTTTGTGATATGCCAGATGGATTCAAGAAACCCGGATTGTACGTACGGCTTAACTGAGCCCTGTATGGACTGAGGGAATCACCACTTCTTTGGTATAAGGAGTTCTCCAGATTACTGCGATCCTTAGGACTAGAATCTAGCAAAGAGGAACCATGCCTGTTCTTTGACACTAATTGGAAGATTCTAGTACTGTTTTATGTGGATGATATATTGCTTATCTACCACAAGACCAACGAAAAAGAAGCTCACAAGCTTTGGAGCAAGATCATGGAGAAATACAAAATACAGGACTAAGGAGAAATTGAGTGGTTCCTTAGGATAAGAGTTATCCACAACCAACACAAGTGTACAATCAACCTAGTACACAACACCTATATTAATAAGATTACTAAGAAGTTTAGCCTAGAAGACAGATTATATCCCTCTACGCCTTTACCCTCAGAGGATCTAATCAAGAACACAGGTAAAGCAACCAAACAGGAGATTAAACGCTATCAAGAAAAAGTTAGGTTAGTGCTCTATACAGCAATCATGATTAGGCCAGACGTTGCTTTTGCTGTCTCAAAGCTATCTTACTTCCTTACAAATCCTAGTAATAAGCATTAGAAGGCAGTTAATTAAGTGATTATGTACCTGTATAGGACAAGAACAGAAGGAATCTAATACAGAAACTACAATGGGCCGGATCTCACAATCTGCGGGGACGCGTCATTCGCTGATGATCTTGAAACTAGGAGATCATCACATGGATATATTGCGATCCTGTTCGGCGGACCTATCCTATAGAAATCAGCCCGGCAAAACACAGTCACTACCTCTACTACAGAGGCTGAGCTGATCGCCCTAGAGCATGTAACCAAGGAAACAATGGCGATTAAGCGATTCTTTGATAAGATCACATTAGATCTGGGAAATATCTGGACGATCTGGTGCAATAATCAGCAAACAATTTGACTAGTTGTAGGGAAAAACAAAAGGATCACCACAAGACTACGTCATGTAGATATCCAGAATATGTAGTTACGTTAAACGTATACCAAAGGATCACTTCAGATCAGCTATCTGGAGACCAGCGGTATGCCTGCGGACGGATTAACCAAGTCACTTACCTAACAACAGTTTAATAAGTTTAAGCAGCTAATTAACATTCAAGATGCAAAGATGTTAATTAAAGAAGAAAGAAAAAAGCAGGAACTTTTGAAGTACCCTGATAGTATGGATCGTCACACACAGATCACCGCCTACTGTGACCCTGCCAACTCATCGAACACCTCAATGAGCCCCCTGAGCCGATCAATGAAGATCAACTGGAGCTCAGCCTGACTACGCCTCGCCACACATCCATGGCCACTATACGCTGATGCTGAAGTGCCACTGATCACCTCGTGCATAAGCTCACCAGCATTTGAACGAAAGGAAGAGACACCCTGAGGTGCCTGGATTGGAGACAATTGAGGATTGCCGTGGGAATACCTAATCCCTAAGAGAGAGGGAGAAGGACCACTGTAAGAGTCAGGAAACCACCAGGGACCAGGGTGAGGGGCAGGGGATCTAGCCTGATAATACCTTGGACGACTACGCCCAAACGGCTGATCCAGCGTGGCAGGATCACCAGACAAGCGGGAGGCGGAAGCCCTGGTGAGGATCAGCGAAGAGTTCGTTGATTGGGGGGTGGCTGGGGGAGCAGTCGCCTTGGGCCTGGCCTTGCCCTTGGGAGGGTTGCGGGGGATCGGAGGGTACTGCTCAAGAGCAGTCCTGGAGCGCTCAACGAAGACCTCGATCTCACAGGACTAATCAGCACTGTCAGCAACACACAGCAAAATACAGCAACAATCAACATACTGTCAACTCTGGATTGCGGCGAGCGTTGATCACAGCATGAACAGGAACCACAGAGTTCTTGTGACTGATTGGAGTCAGTAAACAAACGAATTAACAAGGGATCAATGATCATACAGAATGGAGCAGGAGTGGGTGCCACACTCAACGCAGCGCTCGCTGTTCGAATCGAGCCGATCATGGCAAATGCCATTAATCAGGCCTGCGTTGAAACGCAGGGCGCACCCACCACACACCTCCTTACGAGCGGCACCAACCTTGATCGGAGCGGCCTTCTTCTTGCCCTTCTTGGGGTGCTTCTTCTCCTGATCTTTGGAGCCGCGAGCAGCTTGGCCGGATCGCTTGGGGGTGATGGGGGCGAGCTCGCTATCGTCCTCCTCGTTCTCATGCTCGTCCTTGTCCTCGTGATCAGCGTCCTGACCACCGTCCACCTGATTGTTGGAACCCTCCTCTGAATCGTAGCCGCTCGTGCCCTCAAGCGGATCAACTGGTGGATCGACAGTCCTCTGCCTCTTGGCGAGAGATAATCGCCTGGCAGATGACGCGTTGCGCTTGGCTGATGGCATGATCGTGTGGATTCCGAACGTGTACTGTCTGGTTGTCTGATCAGTTAGTGAGCAATTGAAAGAGAATGGGATTATCAACATACTTGCTCAAGGTAGAGGTATAGAGAGCTTGATCGTTATCAAAGAGACGAAGAAAGGACAGTGATTGCGCGAAAGATCTGTTTGTCGCCTTGCAATTAGTTGTTATGGTTACTAGATCAACTG